CTTGTCTAGCCATATACTTGCTCTTACAAATCGCTCCTCGTGGTCCGTTGACCGACAATTGAAATTTGAGATCAAAATAATGATGTACTTATTATATRCTTAATAACTATTTAAACATTCCACGACTGTTCATGGCAACAGTCACAAATAAGATAGAAAGATATTATAAATTAGCGGCTTTTTAGTCCATATAAGTATCAGTTATGATACGCCTTACACGAAGCCATCAAAAGAACACTCCTGGCATACGACCACGCGGTCGAAGCCCTGACAAACATCGGCTAATATTAAGCTAAATAAYGCCTTCTGAAGCTGGATATTCACGCTACAATTATGTTATAGTCTTCCCTTTCAGATCCTGGAAGGGTTTTTCTATACATAAAGTTTGAAACTGTAAAAAAGAGACTTTTTGAAGAGGTGTCGCGTCACGCTCGAGAAATTTGCAAGAAATGTATGGGGCTTAGYAGCCTGGCCTTGTTATTCCTTGCCTACTCGTCAAAATGGCGGCGAAAACCGTCACTCCAACTATTATAATGCTATTTTCAGTTGAGCTGGCCGTTGTTGATTGGATCGAGTAAAGTTTGTAAAGTTGACTGTTACACGCCCCCAAATATTGTTTTGAGATGCATGAAGTTATGACTTGTCACGCTTCAAAAGCATGTTTTGCCGCCTAAGAGCATTCCATTTTGCACACTTCTGAATATGAAGTATCAAATAAAAGTGGAATATTTGTGCGACTACTTTRTGGAATGCGAAATTTATCCGCTATCTATGTTATGGAACCTGGAAAATATCCAGTTGTGATATTTCCTCCACATTTAACAATTTCGTTGATGATTTTCTGTCTCAAATCATTACTTAGAGCTTTTCCATGCTCGTAAGTTCTCCTGCTCTTGCTTAAAAGCATGATAACAAGGCAAGTTTGCATGTCAAGAAAAACAAGTTCACATGTCAAGTCTAACAAGTTCATGTGCCAAAAAAACACACTTGTCACCTATCAGTACACTGTTTAGCAGCATCTGATTTATTGACGTCAAACTTGCCTCGTTCAAGTAAAATTTGGCCAGTGGCCAGCTCAACTGAAAATAGCAGTAAAAACACGACAGCAATAATTACTTCCAAAAACTACATGTAGCTAGAACGGTATAAAGTCAACCAGTGAAATACACAAAGTGAATATGATGCCAAATTACAGCACCACTGAAGAACACATGGTTGACTTAGCAAACAGGCTACATGAAACACCTAGTTTGAGAGGGAACTAAATATTTTGAAAGGAACCAAATAAAACTATTATTCATTGGCAACTGCAGCTTTTTATTCTAAAATCAGTCACCAGTAGTGTTTCTCCTCCATTCAAATATTGAATATGCCAATTTAACAGTGGATTCTGGAAAAGATGAACGATTTTTCTGAATTGAAGACCCTCTTTTTTCAGCCAAAATGCCTCATATTCCTCAAGGTAAATGACCAATGCCATTGGGTTTTGGTTTCACAGTTTCTTTGATTTTTCATAAAAGTCATCCATTGAACAAAAGATCCAGCATCCTGTTCTTGAACATGATGGTCGGTCTTGTTTGTTTGAGATTTTGTTTGCTCCACCTGCTCTTCCTCTTTATTGAGAAAACTCCTTCCAATTTTTGCTTCTGTCCTTGGTAATTGTCTTTACTGACTTGTCTACCATTGCATGACCATTTTCATCTTTTTAAAAGCAAAGTTTGAAGGATGGTCTATGAAGTCAATTAGAAACCAAAACAGGTGTCTCCACCACTTTCTTGACTTCAGTCCAACAGCGTAATAGCTGTGCAATTGATCACTTCGATCAACGCCACCCATGTTAGCATTGTAGGCCTTCACTACTGGAGTGCTTGGCACATTTATGATTGTTTCATCTCGTTGTTTACGCCGCACAGTGTCCATCTCCAACAGAATTTGACTGGCTGAATAAAGATTCGCCTTGCTTTAGGCGCTTAACGTTGGGTTGTTTTTTCCCCAATTCCTTCGGATAACCCGAACTGCTAGCTTTTATCGTGCCACATAAATAGACTTGGTCTTTTAATAAATCTTCGGCTAGACGAACTGATGTGAAATAATTATCACAGAAGACATGATGGTGTTTTCCTGTAATGGTTCAGGTTAAATCGTTTTCAACATGATAGCCAAGACCATGTTCAACTCTGCCATCTTTCTTTCCCGTATGAACTTGGAAGTCAAACATGTAGCCGTTTGAGGAATCGGCGGCCTCCCAGACTTTAATTCCTCTCTTGATCGGTTTGTTAGGTATGTATTACCAGGGCTCGAAATAGAAAAAATATTTAGCCTGCCACATAATTTTTTTTTGGCAGGTTATAGCAAATTTTGACTTGCCAAAACTTTTTTTGACCTGCCAAGCAATGAAAAGTAAGCAACTGAAGTTAAAAAGTGTTATAATTTCAACTTTTCAAAACATACARTTATCAGTTTGACAATTTGAACAAAATAAACATATATCCATGTCTTCTTGGTAACTTTTCTCTATATTTACATAAAGGCAAGCTATCTCTGTAAAATCCCATCAAAAGGGTAGATTCAGTGGTTAACTATTTGAAAAACTTTGAAGAAAAGTTTTACTCAAACAAGACAACAGTTCATGCATCATCCTCTTCTATCAATAATAGTTTTTTGGCAGTTTCAATAACATCTGATTGAGGTAGGGTTCTCTTTGATCCAGAAGCTGTTGGTTGTTTTCTTGGTCCACTTGGTTGTACAGAAGGTCTTCTTTGAGTGGCACACTTATTACACCATCTTAAGAGTGCTGCTTTTGGATCATATTGTTCTATTGCACTTCCCTCCTCAAAGATTCTAAGCAGATTTTCAACTCTCTTTTCTCCTAAACAATTTCTCCAGTCAGTGTGCACACGATTCATTGCTGAGAACAATCGCTCAAGAGTGGCATTGCTGATGGGAACAACTAACAGAATCTCAACAAGATGTAGAATATTGCTGAGTGAGTCTTTCTTTGAGGAAGTGAAAMGTTTTGCCCATGTATYAGTATRCTTTGCATCTTTCAGCCCTGTTGTTGCCACTAATTCCTTTACATCATCCCACTCACTTTCAATCCTCGTTACATCACATCCATTTGCAGTCAGGATTTCTTGAAACCTTTTAACAAGCAGCCTCAACTCCTCTAACCCATATGTTGAAGAATTGTTTGCTTCTGCTTGTGGATAAAGTTCAGTATCKAGTACTTTAACAAGTGCATTGAACACACTGTYGGACTTGTCAAATCTTTCATTGAAGCAGTCAAGGATACTACAGAGGATATCATTGTTGGCATTTTGAAGACTTGTCTTGGCCTGGTCAGCATACGTCAGTTTGACTTCCTGATACACATAGTCAGAAGTGTCAATCTGCTCAATAAATCTCTTGACACGACCAGTGGAAAAAATAAGTTCACTTGATGCATTTAGCTTTTCCATGATCCTGAAAATGGAGACTGAGCTCAGCTGCTGGTGTTAACACCTCTAAAAAATATTCCACATACAATGGAAACTTGGCATTCCTGTATTTATCATACATTCCCTTGAACTTTGCCCTGTCTGTGCTTTTGTATGTGGTATCTTCACTCATATGGCTGAAGTGAGTAATGAGAAGGCCATAGTTCTTACTTATCCAGCTTAATGCCCGTATTTTATGTTCCAGCCACCTAGTACCCTGGGCTTTGACTGGTGGAGATACTGACATTTCCAAAGCTTCTCCTAACCCTTTGAGCTGTCTCATCTTCTTTGGGCTGTTTTTGTATAAGTAGTACACTTTAACAATCATATCATTAATGTCAGAAAACACTGTTGTTGGCTTCAGAGCATCCGCTATGCCCAGCTCAAGTTTATGACTCACACAGTGAACTGGGACTAGCCAATCAATGCCCTCATTTTTCATAAGAGTGGCAAGTCCTCCCCTTAATCCAAAGTTGACTGATGCTCCATCAGCCCCAAGTCCCACAATGTGTTCCTTTAGTGAAGGTATACCATGATCTTTTAGTGCATTTCTTATTGTTTCAAGCAATCCTTCAGATGTAGCATGGTCAACCTTTTTAAGTGAAAAAAATCTGATCTTTGGTTTTCCTTGCACAGGATCCAGATATAGAATGTAAATCAGTTCTTTCTCTGTGTTACTTGAATCTGTGCTGCCATCAACCAAAATTGAAATGTGGTGGACTTTCTTTTGCAGCAACTACAAACAGGACATCAATGCATATTATTGTCAAAATCATTCATTTACAAGCCATATATTATTTACAAAAATATTAAATACTAAGAACTAAATAAAAAATAGATATAAATATATATAAACTTTGTAGTTATAAGCACAAAATCTAGAAATTTACTTGGCAAAGAAGTAGAACAGGAAAAAATAAATTGCCATATAGTTTTAACTGATGAATGTCTTGAAATTTGCCCTTAAAAGTGTTTTTTTTTTCTAAATATTTTCTTTACTATTTCATTAATTTCCTTTAATAAAGGAACATTAACATCTAATTAAGGATATCGACAAATAAACAATCAACTAAACAACAGAGAGGCATGCTTTAAAAGTATAACTAACCTGATTTAACTCTTCTTCATACACTTCTGCAATGGAGTCAATAGATTCTGCACATGCATGATCGTTCAGGTAGGTAACTCCCAAATCAACTCCATGTTTTTTCTCCAATTTAGCAATTTGAACATACTTTGTAAATGGAAGTTCTTCTTTTGCAACAACATATGCAATTTCTAACAACTTAGAAATTCTTTCCTTCTCTSTTTCGTTCAGCTTGTAAMTTGCTCTGCMGATTGTTGTTGCAGCATATGAAGGGAGCGGACCAGCTGTCATCCTAAACTCTTCCTCTTGCTCTAGTTTCCTAGCCAATTTGTGTGAGTCACTGTTGAGATGGGTTGTTACAGTGTCTTTCTTAGTATTAGATGTACCAGAGCACCATGCACTGTTGTAGTTCCGTTGCGCTTTTATTTTTGACTCGTATTTCAAACAGATCTTACATCGAACCTTTGTCACAAACGTACTTCCATTTCGAGTCTCAGATTCTAAAATCTCAAGCCAATCATTGTATCCCCACGAGAGAAGTGTAGACTTCTTTGTACTTCTTACGCATTTTTTGTTACTCGACGCCATTTTGTTCTGAGAAATGTAGCTGCTATGTAGTTTTATTGCAGGCTCAAACACAGGAGGCCCAAGTATTGAAAAAACACAAGACACACAAGTTATAATAGAATGCTTTAATAGTCTAATAACTCAAATTCACAGAACAAAAACAAACGTGTAACACACATACACAAAACATTTTAAATTTTCATGCACAAGATTCAGTGTTATTGATACTTAACAAACATTCAACTTTACTCAACAATTGCCTCCTACTGTTTCAGGGTATTTCACCATTTCATCAAAATATAAACGAGAATGTACTTTCTATATATTACTCAAGAACCATGCCTTGTTCATACATTTATTCATTGTCACTAAGTATCAAAGTATCGCTGCTAGCATCAGTCGCATTACTCTCCGTGTCAGATAAATCGGATTCTTCATTGGCATGAAACTTCAACACAACAGTTGCCTTGTTGTATCAAGGGAGCAYGTTAAAATTTTGATTGTGTTGGTTTATCTTCGATTTTATCGCACGTATTCTAAGATATGACAGGCATTCCTTGTAGTGCTTGTTTACGTGCGCGCGCTACACTTTATGGCAGGCGTTCCTTGCTTCAGTCGGGCTAGCGAATTAACTCCGAAAACCGACGAATTTCTTGCGAGGAACGGAGCGACGTGTAAAAAGGGAGGGGAGTGAAACTGTAAACCACGTTACCCTTTTCAGCCAATCAAACAATCCAAAATGAAAATATTTTTCGCTCTATGCTGGTAGCAGTATCTATAGAAACGGATTACGTGACAAATTCAAAAAAATGACGTGTAACGTCAAACAGATGAAAACAAACAAATTGGCTTCCTTGAGCGAAGAGCAAAACAAAGTTTTTAATCTCGTAGAAAAAGGTTTTAGTGTGTTCATTAGTGGAATAGCTGGAAGCGGAAAATCATTTTTAATTAGATATATTTAAAAGGAGTTGACAAAGGGAGCAAGCATTGTTTTTATCACCTCATCAACGGGCATTGCGCCTCAAAATATATGAGGATCGACAATACATTCATCAGTTCGCCGGCGTGATAGGAAAAAAATCGGCTCACGAACTGGTGAACATAATCAAGAATAATCCTACTGCTGAAAAGTTTGCCTGATCACATGGCTTTAGCCCTTTTTCGTTACACTCGGTCTTGTAAACTTAATATGCCTCCGTAGTTTTGATCGGCTTCCCCATTAGATACGGAAAATAAACTAGTGATTATTCTGTAAAAAAAATTCAAAATTCAAATTAACGATTTCAAAAACATTCAAACGAGTGACTCGACAGTTCATCTTGAACATAAACTCATACGCTCATGTTACGTAAATTCATAAATTCACCTGACTTCTAGTTTCGAAAAAGTACTTACGTTCTAACTTGATCGTGTAATCCAGCCATCAATGTGCATAGCAACCGCCTGTGTGCATAGCAATCTGCTACGAGCATAGGACGATAAAATTTCCACCGTTTCACTCCCCTCCTATTACACTCGTCATTCCCTTCCTTACACGATCGTCACGATCGTAGGCCATTCGGATCGGCCGAAACCAAAACACTACGAGGAACGCCTGTCACATGATGGATTGCGCGCGCTAGATAGATCAACCAAGAACAATACCTTTCCTTACACAAACAAAATTTTAATGTGCTCCCTTGGTTGTATACTTGCTTTATTGATGTTATCTCCTTTAGTTCTTCTGCTCCTTCTTTGATAAACATCCCAGCTTCTTCAAAAAGGACACTGCTGAGCTTCTCTAGGTTGTCCAGAAAAGATAGAATCCTGCTGTGGGTTCCGAAAACTCCATCTACTCGAATTGGACTTGCTGAATGTTTTTCATGAACAAAATGTTCAACAACTTTTTCAACTACTTTGATTTTCAATTGTAGAGTTCCTTCTTCTTCTTCCGTGCTGGTAGATGGCTTTCTTGTAAATGATATGCCATACTCTTCAAAATGTTGACATAAGAACGTCATTCCTACGAATACTTCTACGTACTCCGGCATTTTCTTACCCACGAGTACTTCAGGCACCCAAATGCATGATGGGTAAATTACATGAGAAAACCGCTGTCCACATTCAATCAAACATCGATGAAAATTGCAATTCCACGAAGAAATAACTATTTCTAAATCAATAATACTTCCAATTTTATATTTATTTATTTTCTTTTTGATTATGAAATCGTCGCGGAATTCATTGCACAAAAACAGTAGATATTTTTGGCCTGCCATTTTCTTTTGCTTCTGGTAGTCCATAAATTTTTTTGGCCTGCCAAGTACTAAACTTGGACCGTCATTTGGCAAGTGGAAGGCCGCTATTTCGAGCCCTGTATTACTTCATCAGAAACCTTCCTATATATTTGGTCATGGCTTCGTCTACACTAACGTTCCTTGTTAGTAGGTATTCTTCGCAGCACTGCTGTAACACACGATCAAGAACGGTTCAATTTTCGTAAAGTCTGTCATGTCGCGGATCTTCTCGTGAAAGGGCTTTGGAGTTGTTATTGAGATGTAGATTTTGGCTCAGTTTGTCAAAACGGTTTCGTGGCATGATTTTTTGGATTTCTGGGACACCAAGGAATGGTTTTCTTTGGACCAATATGGCCGCGAAGAAGGCAGCTATTTTATTCCAAACATGACATAAAGRCCGAGGAAAGCTTTGATCTTTTTGGCTGTTGTAACACGCCACTTAGGATTGGGCTTCACAGCAATGCATTGTTCAGCATACAGGTTAGTTTCTTTGACAATAAGTTTGATTAAATCCTCTGGAAACAATGAAAAAAGTCCGGTACGGTTCCATCTTCTGCGAGACAGGGCCAGAGCAAGATACAAATGGAACGACATTCACAGCTTCACTGCAATCTCCCCAAGTGTTTTCATCTTCCTGTGGCTCGTTTTCTTCGTCATCTGAGACGGAAAAATCAGACAAATCTTCTGTGTTCACTGTTGAAACAGAAATATGTGATTCAGAGGAGTTTGAAGCAGAATCTGAGTCGTTTAAGGCTTGAATATCATTGTTCGTAAATCCCAAGAAATCTTCCGAGTCACTATCGCTCTCCATTTYCAAACGTGTTTCTTCAACTATGATTTTCACTGAAAACTTGTGCGACAACCTATGCCATATTTGGTATAAAAATAAATGTAAACTCTTCTATTATTGGTTAGATTACAATAGAGCATCAAACAAAGATATAACATGTCTTTTGATTGGCTAGAAGAGGTCACGGTAAATAAAAAGATATTTATGAATATTATTGAACATTCATTATCACTAAAAGCAGCCATGGTTTTAGTTTGTCTAAAACGTTTTGCAATTCACAGGAATTTTGATCTAAAAATCTTCATTAAAATCTTCAAGAACGTGGATGATTTTGGGATTATGTCCGCAACAGTATTCTTTTTTGTATTCCAAGGAGAAAAATGGAGGTAGCTGGGAGTTTTCATAAAMAAAGTAGAAAGGACCCCTTAAGCTTTATCGTAACAAAGTTTGGTCAACCCATCATGTTTCAGTTAAAAGTTATAACCAGTTTTTTGTTTCTTAGGGTAATGTCTGCAGCGATGGAATTGACCAGATAATAAATAATATTGTAAAGAATAAATGATAAATGATACACTAGATAAAAGCACAAAATATGAAATAGAAAAATAAATGGAAAACTGGTAATAGATAAATCCTTAAAAAGTATGAGAATCTAGGTTGGAAATATATTACTTTTATAATGCAGTAATTWTATTATTAATCATAAGGTATTGACTATTAGCTATTGTAAGATTCAAGAACATAAATAGTTTTATTTTGAAATTATCTGTTTTTGATTTCTTTAGATCGTCATCCAGAGAATTCCAAACTGTTGCACCAGAAAATCTTACATTAAAATATTCCATAGTTAGTTCTAGCCTGATGAAGGAAATAATTTGCCTTTGAAGCAAATCTAGTATTATAATTATTTATTTGACTGGCACATAAGAAAACACAGCAACAACACAGGTCAATGCTAATGATAAAATAATCTTTTGAATTGTGCAATGCACTATAATTCTGCTGGCACCTATAGCACATGTTGTACTTTTGACATTTTTTTTATGTCTCTGCATTCTCTACCACTTTGCTTGTGGTAAGAATTCTAGCCCTGTTTGTAATCGGGGTGGGCTTAATAATGGAATCTTTACTTTGTCCTTGAGTTTTGATCCTTTGCAACAGAGAGAATGGGCAAATGTTTCAAAAACTCTACCAGTCACACTTCTGTAATTTTGTGGCAATCCTTTTCCAGCTCTCCATTGTGTCGCCTGACCTTTTTATTTTCTGTATTGTGAAGAAGTGYGCTTTTCCTGTTTTTGAGGTGTGGAGTTGACTTCCCAATGGATTATCCAAGCTTCTATTGTTAAATGTTGCTAAAGACACTCCCGTAAATAAACAGTTCAATGCTAATGATAAAAGAACCTTTGAAATTGTGCAATTGGCTGTCATGCTCATGGCACCTTTAACACATGTTGCACTTTTGACATTTCTTATAATATGTTTCTACATTCTCTATCACTTTGCTCATGGTAAGAATTCTATCCCTGTTTGTAATCTGGGTGGGCTTTTTAATGGATTCTTTACTTTATCCTTCAGTTTAAGTTTCTTTAACAAAACCAGCTTTGGACCATAACTCTTGCTACTCTTGAATGTAATTCGTTTCACTTTAATGATGCATCTACACATTTTTGTTAATACTTTTGCTTTAGTTGGAGGAAATACTTATTCTTCATTGTTTATATCCATATCTTTTTCCAGTTGTGTTTTTTTTGCTCTTCTGGGCTACTTGCAATGCAGAAGCTGTCAGGTTTTTTTAGACTGAAGTGCCACACAAATCAGTTTCTGTTTACAAGAAATTATAATACCTTTAATAGATAACAAAATGAACAGAACTAATAATATGACTAAAGTGCAAAGAATGTTAATGCAACATATCTTGCAACTGATCACAGGTAAACTGCAAATATAAAGACGAAAAAAAGTAGTGTGTTAAAGCCACAGCAGCAAGAAAAGCAAAGGTTTTCATAACTCCAGAATACCGGAGCAAGAAGAAATACAGCAAAAAAACGTCAAAAGCTTCAAACAGCAATAAATACTTGATCATCAAATACATCAGTAACAGCAAAAGCAATCTTTTTTTTCCAAATTCTAAATCAATAAATATGAAAGTTCTCGTTTCACACAAAACAAAATGCATATTTGGGCTGCTCTGATTACTATGATATGGGTTTATCATTTTTAGCGACAGGTCTCAGTTTTGTCTCAGTTTTGTTCTCATGTTGTGCTAATGGTGGTTTTGTTGTGGAAAATTAAACCAAAAACTGAAACAAAGGCGAAAAATGGAAAAATGAGGTAAAAGTGAGAAAAGTTACTCCCTGTGAAAYACCTTCCTCACTCTCCTCTCAAGTCTCTGGATTGCTGATAGTTTCTTCTTGTGATTGTTATGGACTTCAGTGGACACATTGAACAGAAAACTATT